TCCTGCTTACATCCTGGGGGTATGCTAGACTCCTATTGCCATCAGCTTGACATGAATCCCAGGCTCATATCTCTCTTCCCTTCCCTCTGGAGAGCACTGACAGCAGCGCTGCTGGTTTAATCTTTGTGTTTCATCTCCCACAGTGTGACCTGTGACAGCAGAACTTCACTGTGCATTCAGGATCCTCATGGATTTCTTTCTGCTTTTGGGATCCCTGACAAAAGACAGACTGGGCAACCTGCAGTTGCAACACATACACTGGAAACCATAACAGAACATTACCTACAAAGAACAGAACCTTATACAGCATTAACAAAGAGCTGTCTGTATCTATTCTATGCTTTGAGCACATGTTTGCACAGAAGCAATACATTTCCCCTCAACAGTTTTCACCCTAGCACTTCTCCCATCAGTTATAAGACAATTACCGAACCAGGCATATTAAAACAGTGCATTGCCCTTTATAGTGCACTTGTACCCTTTGATTATCATCACTAGAGCACTCCTAGGTAGGTAGGACTCAGTTGTTTAAATGAAATGGAAGTGACTGGACACTAGAAGAGTGATTTTTATGGATGGGCAATTTAAACCTCCATGCAGAAGGACACTCAGAACAAAGAAGGTTCACTAAAAAGCAGAGGAGAAAATTGATCACTATTAAAGAAGCTCAAATTCCTTTATAATATCATGATCTCTGTTAATGTGCTGCCCAGCAGCACTTGCTTCTTGATAAAAGCTGCTGTTGTAACAAAAAAGCTTAAAGTAGACATTTAAGCACAGAAGCTGTAGCAATGCAGGCTGAGAAGAGTGCAGGAAGCTGGAGCTCACCTTCTGCAACCTCATCGAGCAGCACAGTAATCTTCTTGTCTTCCAACAAGCGATCCTTCAGGAACTTCATGAAGATTCCATTGGCTAGGCCTGACTGCTGGATTTCAAAAGCTTCTGCTCCCTGGCACCTGTGAGATCACCAGTGGCAGACAAGGGAAAACCACTGAAACATCTGCATGACTGACATCAACAGGAGGACGACAGGAGTAAAGTTACATTGGGAATGGGGGAAAGAAACATCACACTTTGAAACCCAGGTTGTGTCTGAGGCCAACCTGCTCTGCACGTCCATTTGCAAGCAACACATCCTGGGGAGAATTCACAATCAGGCCACAGACCAGAGCTGATGTCAAACTACTTAGATGAGTAGAGAACTCCTACAAGTAACCATGAGCAAAAGATCAGGAAGCCTGCCCAGCAGTTCCTGGTTTGCTGAATGCACTGATGTCACCCTGTATCTGCATGGGAACACTTAATACTGGGAATCATTGCATATGCATTTCAGTTGACTATGGAATGATTCAAAGAAAGAAGTAAAGATGATCACCCATATGGATATAAATTACTGGTCTTTAACACCACAGTTAGTGTTTCGCTGTGAAAGATTAGCTGTACAATCACTTCTGGCTTCCAAACCTCTGTGGCATAGCAGAAGAAAGATTTCCTTACGTGGCATATCCAAAGACAATGTTGGCTGTAACCTTCAGAGCATCCAAGATCAGAATCGTGTCATCGTATTCATTTCTGCAAGAAATGGAGAGACAGGAAAATAGAATGTAACAAGCTACAGTTGTTCAAATACCAACCAGCAGAGTTCAGAACACTACTTCTCTTTCTCTCCTACAGTTCTGGAGTGAATCCTGACTGCTAACACACAGAGATCTTCACGGAGACAATGTGCAGACACAGTCAGGTATCACACACTACCCGGATGAGGCAGGCTGCATTAACCAATGGAGTTTGGCTACAATAGCTTCAAAAGTGATTTCTGATAACCAGCCAGTTTAGGGTATAAAAAAACCTCTATGAGTTCTTCGTTTTTTGGGGGGTTTTGGGGTTTTTCCTCCCCAAACACAGCATTACATAAGGGTTAGGTAGCCATACTTTGACAGCAGACTGGGAAGCTGAATTGGGCCATTGGCATTTCATTAGCAAGGAGGTTTCAAACATTAAAACATTAAAGCTGCAGCAATCTCCTATTGCTAAACATTCCTCAGGGACCAATTTGCAGAAGTGCTGAGTGAAGAGTGATTTCAAGTGCAAGTTGAAGTAGTCTCTTCAGCTGGAAAGAAAACACTACTTTGTTTAGAAAAATCCAATAAACCAGTTGGGTTTGAAGCTCTAAAGAAAGATACACCATCCCTAGCATAGAACAGGGCACAGAATCAATGCCTCCGAAGAGATCTAAAAATAAGCACTTCACTTGAGCCCTTCTGTCAAATTAACGTGCCTTTGATGATATGGATTCTCCTTCCTCCCTGTAATGATGAAGATGGTTAATGATGCAAGGGGACAGGGTGATTCTTCTTCTTCAAGATGCCTGATTCTATGATCTCAGTTTTATTAGGTAAGACTGATGCTTTCTAACCTTTAAAGAATAATAAAAGAAGAAGAAATAAATGTCCTTCAAATCAAGAGGCAAGTATCTATCCACGGAAACAAAGCCTATTCACCAGCTTCATGTTTCCATCCAAGGCCAAAGGCAAAATAAGTCCCACTGACTTTAAGAGCACTTGGTTTCAATGTGTCGCTGCTGTGAATAAACTGAACTCCACAGTTGGTTCCCAAACTACAGTCATTACACCCTGTCATGAGGCAAAACCATCCCTCAAACACCCAGTGTCAGTCCTCACTGTTCCTGGATGATGGGACTGTACCTTTTCCGACACATATCCAGCAGGAACACGTTCAGTCCTGTCTCTTTCTCCTGCATCCGTTTGAGGATGTTCTGCACACACAGGCAGTTTGCAGAGCGATAGGGATTTGGAGCATCAATAGGAACCATGAAGCTGTTCCCATAGTTTTCATAGCCATGGCCAGCATAGTATAATAGACCTGAGAGTTCAAAACACACGTGACTGAAAACACAGCTCAAGAGCACAATGGAACACTTGAAGACATTTTAGCATGTCAAACATTTCATGCACTATTGGTCTCAGGGAGATTAACATCATTCAAGCTACTCCAAGCAGGGTGTTTAATGCCTTTGTTAATACAGGAAGGGGAACCACATTAACATCAACTTCACAACAGACAGGCACAACGAATTAAAAGATATCAAGCAAAAACCTCATGCAATAGGATAAATTAGATACTGGCATCAAACACACAAAGTTAAATACTCTTCAAATGCTTTATGACGTGTTATAATCTGTTGTGTATGATATAACTCACAGGTATGAACAAGGAAATGTGCCAACTGTAAAACATCTTCTATACATGTGCAAGGCTTCAGTTAGTACATAGTGCTGCAGGTGAACAGAAGGCAACAGAGATAAGAGCTATCTGGCGATCTGGCCTTCTTACGCCATTACTCTTACTAAAAACAGCCATGAAAACGAAACTTGAGTATTCAGCCCTGTGCTTTTTGGAAAGGAAACCAAGCCAGAACTCCAGCTCTTCAGACCAAGCCTTTGATTCTCTTTTACTTGTAAGCCCTCAAGTCCTTAGCAACTATGTGAGGACCTTGCAAACTGCTCCATTCAATCAACTGGCCTGAATTCCTTTTTAGGGGAAACAGGCATGGGCAAGACAAGAGGCACCAAGTCCATGCAAGGGAAGTGGTGGGATGCAAGGCTTCACTTGAACAAAGAGCCCGAATCCAGCTGCAAGAGACTTGGGAAATGGCAACAGCTTTATTCAGTTAAAAGTCAGGTTTCTAAAGGGCACAGAACTTAAAGTGTATCATTACCTGGAGGTGTTCAAGGTTGGATGGGGCTTGGAGCAACCTGCGCTAGTGGAAGGTGGTCCCTGCCCGTGGCAGGAACTCGATGAGCTTTAAGGTCCCTTCCAACACAAACCAGTCTGATTCTGTGAATAACCTGAACAAATAAAAGTACTTTTGGGCTAGTTACAAGATTCAAATGGTTACGTGAGACTAGGCTGGTTCAAAATGAAGTTAAGTGCCAAATGCATGAGGCCATGTCAGGTTCTAAGTTAAAAGGAAACAAATTTGATTTCCACAGAGTTTGGATCTGGACCCAAATCAAGATTATATTTGAGATTCTGTAGATCAGGTTTATGTTAGATTAGTGACTGGACTGACTGAAGAAAAGAAGCCTCTAATGGAAAGCATGATTTCTCAGAGTATTTCCTCAGTGAACAGAAATAGCTCAGAAATAACAACCACATTTCTTCCCTATCCTTGGCAGGTGACTGTGCTGTGCTTATCTGATGAGTACCTGCAACAGTTAAGCTGCTGAGCTCAAGAACAGAAATAAATCTCTGCATACCCAAGGCAAGCACAGTAAACATGTTTGGAGGAACTCATTAGACACTTCGACACCACGATTTTAAGTAGGCTCAAGTTCCTCACAGACGTCAGCATCTAAGTGGTATCTGCCTCTCTCTTGGTTGTGCTCCCTTAAAGAAAGCAGCCTAATAGCTATTTGCTATTTTTAGCCTTTAAATAGATGGGTCTGTGCTCTTACCCTTTGTGGAACACAATATTAATTGCTCTCTACCTTTAGAGCAACATAAACTAAGACATCAGAGGCGAAAACCATCATCACTTTGTCTCTTCTGGAACATTTCTTATCTGAAATGCCACATTCCTGGCAGTAAGCAGGAATTACAATGTCATATCAAGCATCAGGAATATGTGTAACAGGGACTAAACAGAAGTAGCCACTATGCCTCTTCTATTTGGAGCTGTGCCCACTAAAAAAGCAATAAATCATCATCTATGTGTCCACCGACAGCATCTTTTATATGCCTGAGGCCATTAATATCCAGGAAGAACAAAGGCCATTTAACACTGAAAACACTACTCAAAGAACGCTCTCCTTACCTTCCAGAAATGCCAGCCTGCTGGAAAAATACAACTGCAAACATAAGCCTTAGAAGAGCTTTGCTATGGGGCTGGTGAGAAACTCATTAAAGCCTGTCAGTACTAAATTCACGTCCATTACAGACAACAACTGCTATAGAAAACAACTAAGAAGGTGCAAGAGCCTAAAAGCTCACCCCAGTGTATAAGCACACCTATTTCCAGGGCACAGAAAGAGACAACTGCTATCAGAGAGCCTGCTAAACTTCACTGCCCTACTTAGCCTTCATGTCATGCAAGTTTTGGCTCTGACATAAATGCCCAAATGTCAGCTCAGCCAGTTCTGCTCAGGCAGAGCATCAGGTAACACTGCAGTGAGAAAGGCACACTAAGAAATAATCTGACCTTGTGTTCCAAAACAGAACCACCTCATGTTGTCTTGGGTGGGTGCTGCTACAGGAATTGTGCTGTTTAAACAGGACAGGTGGCACAACTTTGGGGCCTCTGCTCTCCGTCATTTCTGGAGGCATTTATGCAATCTCAGCTTTTCAAAAGGACCAAGCAGTGGCAGCCAGCCGCAGACTCCTCAAAGCCCATACCAGAACTTCCCTTGCACTCCAAGCCAGGTCATTCGAGGCCTTTTCCAAGCAAGACACAAAGGTTTCTGCTCTGAGCATCAACCCCACCAAGCCCCAGCTCTGTCTTGTGCTTTGACTCTCAAATAGTCTGTAAAGGATAACGTGAGTTCTTCTCTGGTTTATTTTACTTCTTTAAAGTGCACAGCCACAACTTACAGGAACTACATTGTCATTTACATAAACAAATTTCTTTTCAGTTTGCTTTGGGAAGCAGAAATCCAGGTTTGCACAACTCCCTGTCAAGGGCATTAGGAATAAGTCTGTGATTGCCAGGCTGGAATCACAGTAAGGATTAGCCTCAAACCTCGGCACAAAGGAAGAGGGTTAAAAGATGTGCTGCTCTCCTCCCTTAACACACCTGGTATCAGAGTACAGCTCACTGTAAAGGCAAAGAAAGCCTCCCTCTGCCTCTGTTCTTTACAGAGCAGCACTTCCCAAAGAGAAGAAATCCAGAAGGAAAGAGCATTCTGCAGGCATCCAGCAGAATGGCAGGGGATGAGTGGAAGGGTGCCACCAGCAAGCCCAGAACATATTCCACATATTCCATGCTGTTCCCCACCAGAAAAGCAACCTAGCAGTCCAAGGATGCCAAGGGACTGGCCAGCCCTACCCAAACCAACATCTGCAGGCATGGGAAGGGAGGAGGACAAGGAGGAAGATGTTGAAGAGGTCTCCTAAAGGCAGCAAGGACTGCTGCCCAGGACTACACCTAGTCTTGAAAGCTGTGTAGCTGCAATGTACAACCACTCTACTACTAGCTTGTTTCCGTAATACACCAGTACAGTCAAAGGGCATGCTGGTAGGTGTTTTTAGCTTACTTTTCCCATTCTACACATGTGCTATTCACCACGAAGTCTGTTTTGCTATTGCATACAGTGAGCTGGCAGAGGTACATACCAGATGTTGTGTACTTGGTGCATCACAAACCTGATCTACATCTACATGTTCTTACCATACACTCCTTTGTCCAGGAGAAGCAGAAACTCATCCACTGCATTTCTCATCTCAGGCTCAGTGAGATCCAGCAAGGAAACAACTTTGAAATCCAGCTGCCTCAGCAAGTTGGTCAGTTCATAGACATCCACCATAGGAGCCTTGAGCTGGGGATGGTTCCAGTAGCTCATATTCCCTATTAACAGAGCTACCTTGTCTGTTGCTGCAGAGACAAAGGAAAACCAAAACCACAACAGGTTTGTTAAGGCTTCTTTTCACTCACACTCCTCTCACACTGAGGAATACGAAAGTGGTACAGTTCTGACAGAGGCCAGCAGCCTTTCCACCTGGTTTAGCATCCAGACATGCCTGAGCACACTTGAGTCTACCATGCAAGAATGCAATTCAAACCCCCAGCAACTATTCTTCCCAGCATACACACGTTATCCATCTATCTTTATGAGCTTCAGCTCAACATCAAAGCATCTGTGCTGAGGAAGAGCTGAGCTTGCAGGGACACATACCCTCAGCAGACTGACTACCAATCCTTTTTATCAGCCCAATACCATTACCTCCAACTGTCTAAGTATTCAAAGTAAGGGAGGAACATGCTGGCTAAGGCCCTGGCCAGAGGAATCTGAAACAGTAAACTGAAACAGATCAGAAGTTGTAGACACTCCACCAAGTCACTAAAAATACTGGTGCCCTCACCACATTTTACTCCTGAAAGGGCATGCAAGCATTAGAAAGGGCTATAAAAATACACAGAAGTCTCTCTCCCTGCACCTATTGACAGTTATTTCACTAGCAGAGGCAGAAGAAGCAATATTCAGAAGCAAAACCTATTTCCTAGATGTGAAACATGTATGTTCATGTTTCACATCAGCTACAAACTACTTACCAACAGGTCTGTGATCTGACTGTTCTTGCAGCTCTGCTTGAAAGACATGAAATGAGCAGATCATCAATAACTACAGTCATAGTTGTAGTGTCAGAAATGAACTACATGGCCTGTACAGCCACAGGCTACTGGCACTGCTTTGCCTCATACATTACTGGTTTAAGACAAGAAAATGCTTTTTCTTTTTGCTTTGGTGGGGTTTTACCTGATTTCCTTCACCCTCTTGCAGCAAACACAGCATAACAACCCTTTGATTCACTGTATTCTTCAAGTTCACTTACTGGAACCAGATGTGCTGCTTTTAACAGGACATTTGCCCCTCTTCAATCTCCAGTTATAAACACATCCCAATCATGTAATATATAGTGTAACCCAGCCAGGCTTCAGTCATCTGCAATGTAAAATGAAGCCGAAATGGAAGTTTTCCCAAGCTTATCACTCACCTGATTTCTGAAGATCACTGAGGTCTTCTGTGAAGAAATACAGCAATAACATCAGTTTAAATAAGCAAGATATAAGTATTTCAGTAACAAAAATAAAAGTCATTATTAATAGAAGCCAAACTACCTTTCTAAAATACTTTTGGCTTCATACTTCTGCAAATCTAGCCTTTCATATGATTATTCCACATGCAGAGAAGAGAAAATCCTACATCAATATACTAAGCTATGATAGACACAGCATTCTAATACAGTAGATCTCAAAAGAAAAGGGGGAAACCTATTCTGTGCCTCAGCCCCACAAGCATGCAAGCAGCTTGAGTGAATAAGGAACAGAAGCACCCAGATGTGTGAAGGACAACAACATCCTGAACAAGAAATCTTACTTTGTGTCTGAAGTCTTGGCTTTACAATTGTCAAACGCTCTGAGCTACCACAGGGTTCACTCTTTATTCTGAGAACACTGGAAACCATGGAAAAGGAAAACAATTTACCCTGAATTTACCTCCTAAGCCACAAAAGGAGGCTCATATATCCACATAGGACCCGCTCACAATGTTAAAACTAAAGGGGAATATCAGCTCTGGTTAAACTTTGAACAAGAGATGCTGCAGAGCAGTTTAAATGGCTCTATCCAGCTCTCTGAGGTCACCCAGGTTCCTAAGCACCTTCAGCCTTTCTTGCAGGGATGTTGCCTCCTGAGCCCAGCCAAAGAAATATCAAGTTCTTCACAAACCCAGTGCAAAAATCAAACAACTCTAAATACTAGAGAAGAAGAAAGGAGCATGCTTTTCCTCCCATGTGCAAAGAAGAGGGAAGCACATGCAGAAAGAACACTGCATCACACGTTAGTGATCTCAAATAGACCGAAGCTCTTAACCCACACATGCTTTTCAGCAGCACACCACCACTAAGACTTACAAATTGATTCACAACCGAAGACGTATTTACCTTCTGAGCACTCCACTGCCATAGCTTTCCTTCCTTGGGTTTAAGGGGGGAAAAATTGGAAGACAGTTGCTCTCAGTTGTGAGAGTGAGCACACGAAGTGGAAGAGAAAGTCACTTCCAAGTTCCTCTGCAATCTGCCTCGTTTCATAGCAGCAGAAATAAGCACTGACCACCACACTGTACAGTGTTACTAAAGCTCAGGAGTGCTAAACTAGGCTATTTCTTAGGATAGGCAAGAACTTTTCACATGAATTATGCAATAGAATGATCTGGAAGCTGCACAAACAGATTTTTGCCTCGTTAGTTTACTGCAAATACTTGCACACGTATTAAATCATACTCTATTCACTTATTCTGCTTGCTATGAATAACTTCACCTGTCCCGATTGTGTAACACAATTTGTACCACCAACAAGGGTTTTTAGGCTTAGGTAAGGAACTGGTAAATCAGCTGACCTGTATCAAGCACAAAAAGTCCTTACCTACAATGACTTCTATCTTCTTGCTGTCCTCATCTTCCTGGTCATTGAACACGTGGCACCAGTATGTCCCTTGATGCTCCACATCCACATAAGCTACCTGCACGAGCATTGTCACAGTCACCTCACCAGACCCCAGACGAATTCCTGTATCAGTTTCATTTAATCCCACTTGCAAGAAAGGGTAAAAGCTAAAAGCAAAGGCTGACCAAATCCAAAACTGCTGACACCCTCATTCCTCAGTGAGCAAGACAGCACATGCCTTCTAGCAATCCACCTCAGAGGCTTGAGATGCCTTAAGCACTGAATGCAGCAGCTCATACAAATCAGAGTGCTCTGCAGGGCTTTCACTCCACCGACACTTCATCTGTGTCATGTCCCAGCAATCCAAGTACACTATAGCCTTACATCCCATGACCACCACCTGAAACATGCTCAGGATTAAAACCATGCACCCAAGAGTCTCAGAACACTATGGACAAGGGAGTAACAACTTAGAGTGAGCACTCCCATAAGACGTTTTCAAAGCTATGAAGTAAATTGTTTTCTTCAAGGAAGCTTTATGTGAAAAAGGGGTTACACATCAGACCCCAAGGCTGGCCCCTTGCAGTAACTTACCATGTAGACATTTTTGCTCCCATTTGCCAAGGGAAAGCCATTTCTGAACCACTGGTACTGAGGAATTGGGTTTCCAACAGCTCCACACTCCAGCACCAAAGCATCCCCCACTGCCAGGCTTTGGGCCTGAGGCTGTACGCAAATGCGCAGCTTGTTTCCAGGCAAACCAGTTAAGCTTCCTTAAAAAGTGTAAAAAGAGGGAAGAAAATAGGAAAGAAAGGGTGAGACATCATACAGACTAATAAGAATTGACGATGTATGGTCACATCTTCCTGTAACTACAACAGGCTGGTTTAATAGCGATGAAGCCAAGTTACTTGACTACGAAGAGTACGCTAAAACCATCAGCCACTGCCATATTCCAAATAGAAATGTCTTGGGGAACAAAACCTATTCAGAACACCTTAAATGCACTAAAGACTCATCCAGCTGCTGTGATGTAAGTTTCCGTATGTGATAAAATTCATCTTAAGAACATCCACCACACGGGAGAGTGCTGCACTGAGAAGGTTCCTGATCTCCACACACTGAACTGTTTAAGCGACACACACTCCAGCAAGCCCAGCCCCACTTGTAAAGGTCACACCAGTGATCTTTTCTCTCAGCTGCAAGGTCACTCATCTTTGCTGTTAGACTACGTGTGCAGACACATGCTTTGTCATCAGAGGTACTTGTGACTGACAACCAGAGAGTGATGACATTTTCCTTTGCACAGCGAAATAAAGGGAGGCAGCGATCCAGCTATCTCTGTTCTACTAGTGGCTGAGCTTCTGGGTGCATCATAAACTTGTGTTTCAGAGGTTTACAAAGATATTTATGATCAATGCTGACCAGTGTTTTTAAAAGAAATCTCTACTTCATAATGCAGACTTGATACTGGTAAAGAGACTGAGAGATACCTGTCTCTGTTCTGTGACAAACACAGACCCTGGCTTCCCATGTTCTCTATCGACGGTGTTGGGGTTTTAATTCCTTACGAAGGAAAATGTCCTACTTTATTATCAGGATCTTCCAACAAAATGTACAGAATTAAGAAGTAAGGTGAGATGGGAAGGAACTGCTTTTGTAGTCAAATGAAACAGGATTAGTCTTTAAGAACAGACACAAAGTTACAGGTAGTGAAAAAACCATGAGATCGAAAGATAACATGGTTTCTGTATCCCTTACCTGCCATTTACAGGCCCTTGTTGGTACATCCTGTTGTTGTACCCCTCATAACACACACTAACCAACTTGTCCCTGTATCTTTTGGGATCATGTCTGGCTGCCTCATTGATCCCAGCCTCACAAGACAGCTTTGGCAGAATGGTCGAGCGCTCATCAAACAGAAAGCAATGAAAGGAGAGGAGGAGAAGAGTATCTGAAAAAAGAAAGCAACCAAGGGAGCAGGAAAAGGGAAAGACAGACAGTCAGCAGCTGAAATAGAAGATTTCACACCTAGTCATCGTTTACAGAAATGGTATTGTCAGTGTTGTCTAGTTCAGCTGCAACACCAGCAATCCCAAGCCAAATGTTCCAGATGGAGAGTGTTCGTTCAGTGCAAGCACTACATGCCCCCCTTCAAGTCTCCTTGGTAGGACTCCAAGAGGGAAAGTTACAGGAAGGAGCAATCCATCCTGCCCCTCATCCTTTTACCCACCCCCAAGGCCTAAACACACTAAAATTCACTCCCACTATAGTTCCTGGCTGGCCAAGAGTCATGGAACATAAAGCAAGGCACTAGGCTGTGGATACCTGCTGCCCTTTAGGCTCCAGAACTCCTGCCACAAGTGTGAAACAACATACTGCTGGTTTTCCTCAGGGGTTCTCTGAAAGTAGTCATTACAAGGTCATTCATCTCAGCTCCCTGGTGCAATCAGCACCATCTAAACCTGCAGGTTTCTAACTGAGTAGAGCCGGGAGTAGAAGCAGGAAAAGCAGAAGAAATCATTGCTTAGATAAGGGCTGGGAAGATGTGAAAAGGTCACCCCAAATGACACTGCAACAGCTTTTTGTCTTTCACCAGAAGAACAGCTTTTTCCTGACATGAGTAATTTTTCTACGTGGGACGCAAGTAGAAAACACCTTTAACTCATGACAAGAGATGAAATAAGTGCTCTTCACAGCCTGAAGGCACTGCAGCTGAGTTCTAGCTCACCCATCTTCAGGCCAACAGCAAGCAAGTCCAGGCTATTTAATGAGGAGGTTTATAAAGAGCAGGAGTCAATGCCCGTGTAATGTAACTGAGCATTCTGTAAAGCAAACAACAAGCAACACACACACCAGAAAACCCAGACAGACTTTGAGCAGACAGTGGTTTTGCCACTCACCATGAGGGGTTCCCTGGAGCTGACAGACTTCCAGGCGTGCCCAGCGACTGAACACAAAGGAGGATTCACTGTTCACTCGGCAGATGTAGAAGCCAGAGTCATTCACACTCACTGGATTCAAAACTAGCTCTGGAGAATTGCCATTAGGAACCTGAAGTACAGGAGAACCAAGAAACAGATTAAATCTAAACCTGGATCAAACCTTGGAATACTTATTTCAATGTCTATAGCACCAGCCTCAGCACCTTTATTTGCTGGAAACTTTGGGATGAGGAAGTCTTGTTCTGTGTATTTAAGTAGCTCAGAGACAGGCTTCCTTCCACGAACCATTATTTAAGACAGTTCTGAACTTTAAGCCTATTGAAAAGCTCTTCCTAAAATCAAGGATTTTTACCTTTCTCCATATATAACTCAGAATGATTTCTTAAGCACTGTTCCAACCTGAGTGTGTGTTACATTCAGCTCTGGCCTTAAGATATATTCAACTATGACCAGGAAAGTGTAACATTCTTTCACAGAGAAAGAATTTTTTTACTACACCTATACTTACTCTCACATTCCAAGATGAGCCTCCAAGGATGAAGTGGTCTTAATGTAAGGAACCACCTTATTGTCTTAAGCACATTGAAAGGGTCGTTATGCAGCACTTCTTATACTTCTATTCTATTAGTACATAGAGTAATCTCCTTTCATCGCAAGTAAGTCTTAAAAAAGGTACTGTCCCAAATAATTCCCTATTATTTTCACCATTAACCCCCTATATTCTCTACCAACTATTACCTCTTTCTCCTGCTTGAACCACTGGTAATGCACAAATGGGTGTCCTGTTGCCCAACAGGACAGCTTGACGATCTGACCAGAGAGCACTGCTTGAGAGTCTGGCTGCACAACAATCTTTATCCCTTTAAAGAAGAAATTACACACAGAAAAGTTATTAAGAAATACAATTCCACCACTGAAATTTGCATTTAAGTTGTTCTTTGAGCAAAGAGTTTCTGTCATTAAATAGATTTGGAAAAGAATTAGTTTGTCCTGTGTATATACACAGCTCCAATTTGTTATATGTCTTTGAGACATTCAGTTGTTAAGCTTCAGATTAAGATTAGGCACAGCCTGAGAGATGGATCAAACCAGTAAGAGTTTAACTACAACACAGTGTGGTTTTCTGCTATTCCTCATGCAGCCTTACCAGCCAAACCCCTGCTTTCAGTGTTGTGTCTTTGGCTCCTCTAGAGCACAGGGCTGGGGTTTTCTGTTGCCATCGTGCAAGGCGAAACTTTCCACTTCAGATTTTAACTGCCAGGAAAGAGCATGAGTGAAATTCTGACACCGGTCTGATATGATCCAGTTATTTTCTTAACCTAGACCATCCCAGAGATCTTGTTACAGCATGACCCAAAACCAGATCTACTGGTACAACCAAGGTCATCAGAAGAAGAGGATGTTTTCCTAACAGAGAATGCTTGAGGAAAGAAACTGTAACAATGTGATCAATGGGCTGAAACCCCAGCAGAAACCTCTGTGGTCTTTGTTAATCACACACTCTTTGTCTAGCAGAGAAGTGGGCTGTGTTAACCTCCTCCACACCCAATCCTAATCTGAAGTCACCGATCACACAGGCAGCTACTCCAAAGCATCCACAGGACTTGAAAATTCCCTGCCTCTCTCTCTGAAATAACTTCCCTTTATACCCAAGCCCTGAAGATGACAACCTCAGTTCCTCACTGAACACTTCCTCTGCTGTTTTTCATAAAGGGAGTGTGTTAAGTACCAGTTTTGAGCATCACCATCAGCTAACATTAACCAAGACAAACAGGAATGATATTACTTCACTTGAAAGGCCAGAAGAACAAAGATGAGCTGCTCTTTCCAGAGCCTTCCACTTTGGTTTAATCTCTCCTGATCTGCACAACTAATACCTCTTAGGAAAGCAGTTGAGCAAAACAAATTCTCTGAAAGATCAGCATTCTGCACTCCTTGGAAGCACTACAAACCAGTTCTAAGAATCTGATTCATAGTTTCTTCATGGTTTCATTTATCTTCCTGCCATTCGTTCAGTGCTCTACAGCTACTTCCTGCAAAGCATCACACAAGCTAATGGTTCAGGAAGAAAACCTCCTGGCTCCATTTTCTGAATGGTTACAGAGATAGACAAATATTTCTTCATTTGCCCTGGAAAATGCAAAGCTCAAGTTTTGAGCTCCTAATATTCACTATAATACAACTGTTAGGTTCTTGGCTCACACACCAGTAAACTTTTGCAGTCATTTCTGGAAACTCAGCCTCAATTACTCACATTCAGGTTGAAGTGCTCAAACGGCTGCAGTAAGAGACCTGCCTGCAGAGGAAAATCACCCCTCTGCTCATTTCAATCATGACAACTCATGGAGGTGGCACAAGGGCCAGGCTGTGTAATACCACAAATTGCACAGTAAGCCTTTTGCCTCCTTAGCCTGGGAGAGAGCTCTCTGTATTTCATTCATTTCCACTAAGAAATGACAAGATAAAAAAGGGAAGAAAAGGCCGGAGAGGTGGCCCAAGATGCCACAGCTTTCTCACTGCCAAAAAGGAGAAGCTTTAAAGTTATTATTACTACTATTTTGTGTCTTTATAAGAAGCAGCTTTTCTATGGAGTTAATTCAATGTGACAGGCAAGTCTCTAAACTCTGAGACACAAACAAGGGCTGGAACTTGGTTCTGGGAGTCGCTGGTTCTTCGAAAGATGCTTTGTATTGCTGCAAACAAAGCATGTCCCAGCTTGTAACAATACATCTCTGCCATAAAGGTACTGAAATGGTGTCACTGCCAAAACAGAGAGGAACTCTGCAGTACTAATGTGAACCCGGACCACTCTTGTTTGCAGTACTTTCCCAGTAACCACCATATGGAGAACAATAACAAAGAACGAGGGTCCACAGTGCAGGCCAGCCCAGAGAAGCTGTGGCTGCCCCATCCCTGGCAGCGTTCAAGGCCAGGTTGGACACAGGGGCTTGGAGCAACATTAGGTGTCCCTGCCTGTGGCACGGGGTTGGAACTGGCTGAGCTTTAAGGTCCCTTCCAACCTAAACCATTCCATGATTCTATGATCTACCTAGGTGACTTTTAATGTCAGAACGAGGAGCCAATTACCATGGTAATCATATGAACACCAACTGCTACAATTCAAACTCTAAAGATGTTCGTAGAAAAGGAATACTTCAGTGTTTCCAGCTGCAGTGAAAGCACAAACCAGAACTGACCTGAATGGCTGAGGCACTGGAGAGCCTCAGTGTGCTCCAGGGCCTGCAGGAACTCCATGAGCTCCACCACAGTGCAGCCACGATCTCCCAGCAGCTTGAGGAGACTCCAGCTGGGACTTCCTTCCGGCTCCAGCACTTTGAGGGAACACTGCTCCAGATCCAGAGGGCTGCAAATAAGGGGAGAAGGACATGACACAGACATGACACAGACCTCCTTAGTGCTTCTTCCTCAGAAAGGAGTAGTTAAGACCCACAGATGGGAAATTCCTAGCTGATCTGAAGATATCTGCAGTATTTCCTTCAAGCTTTGGGAGCTCAGAGGCTACACAGCAACACCTCCACAGACTGAAAGTGGTATTAGTGAGCTGCATGCTACAAGAGATGCTTGTGCCTAACAATTCTGATTAAATGTATTGAGAAATAGTGCATTTTTCACTTCTTACAGTCTCAGCACAAAAACAAGTGCAGCACCTTTCATTTTCACGTGCCTAATTCAGAAGCAGTAAAGAGTGAGTCAGAATCCAACTTGAAAGTCCAGGAAGACTTTGATTTTCAGAGTTGTTGTTAAAACAAGCGAGTGCTGCAGCTTAACTGATACACAGTGCAGTTACCTGCTTCCATACATTCATCTCCAGGTATAAACACACATAGTCTTGAATTCTGGTGATAAGTCTTCTTTCAATCACAGCAGATTAAAATCACACAGGTAGTAAGGAAATGAATACAGCTATGGAAGGGAATGCCAGTTTATGTATTCCCACTCAAAGATTAATCAATGTTTCTTGCATCAGCTCACATGCAGGTGAGATACTGCCACTTATCAAGCACTTCATTGTATTTTACTGGATAATACAGAAACACACACAGCCCTAGGCCCCACAGAGGAGTCATGTTGTAACCCTCAGGTTCTATTTCCCTATATTATCAAATACAGATGTAATAGAGGAAGGACACATCTTCATAGTGTACTGTCAGTGCTGTACTGAAACATGTCATGTTTTTGAGGTACTACCCTCTAAACTAGATCCTGAAAAGCCACAGGAAGCGACCTAGAGAATGTGACCTGGGAAGAAGGAGTTAAGAGAATGGATGTGTTTACCCCAATACAGACAAGAGGAACTACAGGGAACAGCCAAACATTTACGGTGTTCTGTCTGGCTGCATTTGTGCCGAGGGACAGGGGATGTTTCCCAGCTCCCAGGTGGCAAAGCAGGATGCTACACTACTTGGACCCTGTTGCTTCTTCGCTGGAAGCCCTCACATGGCACCAAGCAAACATCTCCTAGAGATCGGCCATGACTTTACCTCAGATCTCCTCCACCCCACTTGCCCCAGGGCCGGGGCTCAGTCAGGGATGCTCCCGCTGCTGCAGGAGCGAGGTGTGGGGTTCTGGGAGGGACAGGGC